TATTTACATATGGACACACCCATGCTATACCTCTATCCATAACTTTGATTCCTAGATCATTCCTGTCTTGTTAATTCCCTTTTCCAAGAGATATTTGGAGGCACCTTGTACACTATCTGAATGCACATACAAACACAAGTTGCCACTAGAGTATTTTGTTTTCAGCACACACATGTTGTTTATGCCTTGATATGGAACTTCAGGATACACCTGAGAATCCATGCTGGCAAATAGGCACTGGGTTTGCCAGAAAAGAGTCACCTGGGAGGGTGAGCTCACCTAGTCTCAGGGGGCATAATTTAGCCTATCATACAAGACTCTGTTAAAGTTCAGAATGTTAAAGTTCTTGGTTGATGAGAGCATATGCGCTTGGGAGGGTAGCAAATCCCTTAGGACATAAAAGATACATGTTGGGAACTCTCCCATACCTCACCCTCTGTGGCGCTTTGTGTCTGTGTTGGTTATAATAGAGCTGTAGTCCTAAGAATGATGTACTAGCCATGAATTCTGTGAGTCATTCCAGCAAATAGCAAACCCACAGAGGCAGTAGGAGCCAGTGGGCTGGAAGGTGGCATATGCACTCCGGAGCTTGCAGCTGGCATCCTGAAGGAGCAGTGGGTCGCTGAAAGAGATGAAGAGTGGGTTCGGGGTTATTAAGTTTTTAAGATAAGATCACAATTTACTTCATTTCATAATTTTACTGTGCTGTGTACTAGATTTCTCTTAGCAATTGAAAAATGGAATGATGTGATTAGCTTGTGATTTCAGGTTGGAGAACAGGGATGCTCATTAAGGAAAACAGTATCGAAATGTATGGGGAATGCCAGGGGCAGTTAGAGACACCGTCCCAGTATGCTGTCACTGATGATTGCACTACCCAGAATAGGGAGACACGCTGACCATAAGAGCAGCAAACACCGTAAGAAGAAAACAATTGTCCAATATCTCCCCCAGCCTAGGGTTGATATTTTAAATATTCATTTCTCAGACCGCCTAATTTTACAATTACATAAAATTCCACTCTTCTCTTTCTTCAGAGAGACAACTTGAGGAAGCACTCCCCCTGGCTGGTCAACCATAATGACGTGGGCAGAGCAAAGCCTTTGGGAGCAAAGCCTTCACAATCTTCATTTACTGATGGGCTGAGTCGCAAAATTCAGAGAAACAGCTGAAAACATCAATTAATAATCAGAACTTGGATACACAAAGTATGAATCTAGGAAAATGGAAAGTTATCAAAAATGAAATGGAATGCATAAAATCAACATTCTAGGCATTAGTAACCTTAAATGGACTGGTATTGGCCATTTTTGAATCAGAAAATCATATAGTTTACTATGATTGGAATGAAACAATTAAGAGGAATAGTGTTTCATTCGTCATCAAAAAGGACATTTTCAGATCAATCTGGAAGTACAATACTGTCTGTAATAGGACTATATCTATATTCAAGGAAAACAAATCAATACAATTATTATTCAAATTTATGCAACAACCAAAAAAGCTAGTGGTGAAGAAATTGAAGAATTCTAACAACGTCTTCAATCAGGCATAGATCAAATGTCAATCAAGATGTACTGATAATTATTGGTTATTGGAATGAAAAGGTTGGAAACAAAGAGGAACGAACAGTAATTGGGAAATATGGAATTGATGATAGAAATGAAGGAGAGCTCGCATGATAGAATTTTGCAAGAGCAATGATTTATTCATAGCAAATACCTTTTTTTCAACAACACCAACAGCAATTATACCTGTAGACTTCTCCAGATGGAATAAACAGAAATCTAATTGACTCCATTTGTTGGGATGGTGGGGGTGCGGATAGCCCTGGTGGACTCGTGATTACTCCTTGGACTGCTAAACATAAAGTCGGCAGTTTGAAACCACCAGCCACTCCGTGGGAAAAAGGCAAGGTTTTCTATTCCTGTAAAGAATTACAGTCTGGGAGGCTCACAGGGCAGTTCTACCGTATCCTACAGGTTGTCTATGAGTCAGCATCGAGGCCAGAGCAGTAGATTTGGTTTGGGTTTTGGTTGGTGGGAAAAGATGGTAGGAAATGATGCTCAGGCCAGGGGCCATCTCTGGAACAGACCATCAATTGCTCCTAGTTAAGTTCAGGTTGAAGCTGAAGAAAATTAAAACAAGTCCATGAGAGCCAAATTATAACATTGAGTATATCCCAAATGAATGTCAAGGATATCTCAAGAATAGATTTGCCGTGCTGAACGCTAATGGCAGAACACCTGAAGAGTGTGCGATGACATCAAGAACATAATACATAAAGAAAGGGAAAGATCACTTAACAAAAGACAAGAATGAAAAAGAAGATCAAAGTGGATGTCAGAAGAGACTCTGAAACTTTTCATCATAAAGTAGCTAAGGCAAATGGAAGAAATGATGAAGCCAAAGAGCTGAATGGAAAATTTCAAGGGGCATCTTGAGAAGACAAGCTCAAATATTGTAATGAAATATGCAATGATCTAGAGTTAGAAAACCAAAAAAGAAGAACACACTCACCATGTCTTAAATTGAAGGCCTTGGGCTGTTGGTTTTTGTTTTTGTCATAATGACTGCCAAAGTAAACCAGAGTCCTTCATAATCCACAGACAAGCAGATGGATTCTAGGCTCCCACTTAATTCTAGCCCCAATCTAAGAACACTTAGTTCTTATAACATGGCCCTGCTCAATATTCACCTTCATGAAAAGATCACTGAAGATAAGGATGCTACAGCAAAGTGTGGTGAAGAAAGAAGATGGTGCCTGGCTATCAACGGAAATAGTGTCTGGGGGTCTTAAAGAACTGTCTTCAAACAAGCAGCCATCTAAGTGAGGCATCAACTAAGTCCCTATCAGAAAAGCATACCAGCCAGTGTGATCCAAAGATAATGATAACGAAATGCAAATATGTTGAAAGGAAAAGTATCAGAGCTTAAATTGTGAACACCCAATTTGTAGAAGGCTATGGAGGACAGTGGGAGCCCAAAATCCATCTGCAGACTCTCTAGCCAGCTTAAACCTCTGGCAGATCCCCTCTAGCCA